AAGTCCCAATAACTTCACGATTTCATCTTCCTTTAACTGTAAGCCTTCACTAAAATCTCCTTTCAGTTTACCTAATTCCTTCATTTTACTCAGTAGACCCTCTTTGTTGCTCATCCATTTTTGAAGTTGAAACCCTGCCTTGGACAATAAAGAGTTCATTTCCTTGTAAATTATTAGTCCTTCATCAACACTATTACATCCTGTCAAAAGATCATCCATATAGAAGTCATTTAGTACCTTGTCTGCAGCTATTGGGTAATGACAGCCTTCATCTATTGCCACCTGTTGAAGCGCCTTCACCGCCAAGTAAGGAGCCGACGCTGTGCCGAAGGTAACCGTCAACAGACGATAATGATCAGCGTTTTGGTCAAATTCTTCCTTCCAAAGTATACGTTGACAGTCGATATCATCTTTCGCCACTATTACCTGCCGATACATTTTAACGATATCCGCCGCTAGACATACAGGATAATTTCGCCATCGTATCAAAAGGTGTCGAAGTTCTGGTTGTAACTTTGGTCCTATCAACAACTTGTCGTTTAACGAATATCCCTTGTTATTTTTACAGGACGCGTCAAACACCACTCTGACCTTGGTAGTATCTTTATCATTTCTTACCACTGCATGGTGCGGTAAGTATATGACATTCAATTTCTCTTTCTCATTTTCAGGAACCTCTTCCATGTGACCCTGCGTTATATAATCATTTATAACTAATTTATAATTTGTTTTCAGTTCCGTATTCCCTTTTAACCTGGCGTGCCATTGCACGAGATGAATTCAATCTCCTTTCTGCAATTTCTTATAATTAACATAAGCTTTATGTATTCTATCATACGTATTTTTTTGCTTGTTAATTAAAGCCTCCATTTTAACTTTAAATGAGAACTAACAAATCTAAAACCACAAAATAATTACGAAAAACTAATATGTTAACGGCAGCAATATTTTACCAAAGACTAGTACCATACCAATATATATGATGTAACTATTTTCAATACTAGCCGCTACGTTCTGAATACCTTTAAGATAAATGCAAACTTCCAATACAACTAGCGGCTATATTCTTTAGAAACACAGCAACAAAGATACACAGAACAAAATAGTGTCAACACTAGTGGCAATGTCGAAGTCTAAAACTCGTTCTGACATTTAAACCATAAATAAGTTATCATATTATTTTATTAATATCACACAGCAATTTTCAACTACAAACTGTTAATTACTCGGACAAAATTTTGCCATAGAGTATTTCAAACCAGATAAAATTTTATAAGTTTTGAAATAAACAAAAATTTTTACAAGTGTTTTTACACATTAAAAAAAATCGGGCATAGGTTCCCCGTCTCATCCACTTTTTACAAATTATTCTAAGTCTAAATCTAAAGTTAAAGTCCAAATTTACTATTAACGTTTAAGTTCCTTAGCTTAAGGTATTAAAGTTCACTTTTGCTTCAATTTATCTTGCCTTGAAAACTATTTCACTAAAGCTCACTATTGCTTAATTCTTCACTGACTAGTTTAAATAACTAAAGTTTACTCACAGTTTATCCCAGGTATGTTCACCACCTGTATAATATCCTCCTTCACTTGGTTACTTCACCAAGGACTCCAAGTTAACAGCACCGCTCCTCCAGGGACTCCACTTGCCCTGGCCTCCTTCACAGGTTCCGGAACTTCCGCTTATAATCCAGGAACTGCCAGCTCCCGTTTCTTCACAAGCGTACAGACTGCCTGTAAAGATGCTCTAAGCAGCGATCCACTGCTTAGTAGTAGTGTCGACCTACTCCGCCGACGTCAAATTCCGAATAATATTCGGCTCCGAAGGACCAATGTACTAGCGTGCCGCTGACTCAGCGATTAGGATACAGCAAGGAGAAATAACACTGCAGATTACTGTTCCAAGTACAGGTTTATTTTTCTTACACAATATAGGTTATACAGCGATATCATTTGGTCTTAGAGAATCTTAATAGCGCGATTCACTCTCATAGCCGAGCGCCATCTCGTGGGAGTTCACACAAACAATAACACACTTACATTTAACACGTAATACAATTAAACAACTAAATTTGCTTATGTTGTTTCATAGTACTCTATGACAATATTAAACATCATCTTTAGATGAAGGTATGGACCACAGCAATGAACTAAAGCAGTTAGTAGCAACAGAATAGTTAGTGCCAACATTATCAAGTTTACCTTCCAGCCCATAGAGAATACATTCTATTTTAAAACTAAATGAAATTAGCGAAATTACCATATTAGGTGTTCCTAATATGGTAATTTCGGTCTACAGGGAAAGCATGTTATTTGGACAAATGTATTGTAAAAATACGTAAATGGTCTCACATTTACGTTTAAGATCGGACCGAAAAGTTGAAAAATAGCAAACAGTGATTATATAAATAATAAAAAGGAGGAGTGACGACTGTTTGTGCGACGTGTGTTTTAGTAAATACATTTCTTATGCCCGTTATAATGTCGATAGACTAGTTATTTGTTACATTATACAATATATGTTTTGTTTGCTATTTTTTTCATCAGAACTGCCAAACGGTTACATTGCAGACATAGTACAAACGAACGTTTCTCATTACAGTTTAATGTGTAATAGCACTCAGTCGAATTCCTGAAATAAATGATTGATTTCGTCTTCACAGTTTTGTTAGGGCGGTTTCAACACATCAGCTTTAGTTGCTGTGAAAGAAAACGTCTGTCAATTACAGTCTATAGAAATAAATAATGTGTTTGGCAATTCCTCTTCAATTTATTTTGTTACTACGTACTTTATTGGATGTGAAAGACAATGTGTATTAATTAATCTTAACGAAATAAATTACATTTAGACGCTCATAAGTATTAAAGTGCTTATGAATTTTATACTATAAGAAAAAACATAGGTTAGTAACATTGTGGGCTCGAAATATTTATTATACAGTAGTATTGTATTAATCTTGGTGACGAGTCCAAAACATAAATCAAAATAACAAAATAAATCAGAATAACATTTATTTGCCCACTTTGTGTGCTAAAAACATGTCTCTGTGGTTGGTGGGCCGGGCCGTGCGGAGGTGAGTCAGCTAACTTATGCCCAAATTGATCTATGTTCTATTTATTTGTAATGTATGAGAATAACAAACAGATTACGTGTTTTATTTATTTGTATGCTCACTGTATATCTCATTAATTGAATATTATGTTTCCCTTTTTTTTCTTTACTTTATTTTATTGCCTAGGTGTCCTTTTTTTATTGCATAAGTGTCAGGCATCTATGTCAGCCATCTCCCGCAATTATTAGTGCTAGTCTGCACTGGCGTTCGATTTTGCATAGGTTAGTTGTGCTATACCTGGAGAGTAGTTGCAAAATTCCGTAGTCATTGCCGGTAAAATCCAGGCCTGAATGTTGGCCAGTTTCGTATATAATTCTGCGTTCGCATAGTATTCTATTATTGGACCGAGGGCTCCTCTGACTTGTTTTAGTTTTTTGACAACCTTTTCGGTGTGCTGGTCCATCTTCATGTGTTGGTCGAAGATGACACCGCGGTACCTCACCTATTTTTGTTAGTGCAACGTTTGTTCTTTCAGTTTCACCGTTGGGCGGTAGTTTTTCTTTACGAGAACATGGTACATTTTGTTTTCTCTATGTTACACTTTAACCCCCATCTTGTATAGTAGTCAATGATGACTTTCGCTACCTATTCAGCACGCATTGTCGCGTGTTGTGGATCGGTGGCTGTATTGAGTATACTCTGGCCTCTGATATTGTCATGTATATCCCAAATATCATGAACGAAAGTTGAAGGTCAAGTTTCTGTCTTCGAGGTAATTCTCAACAATTTAATGACGTTGTTGGAAACGTCTTGATTCTGAAGTTTCTTGAAAGGCCTTCGATAAGTCCGTGGATATCATTGCGACGCTGTTTCCTAGTTTCGCGTTGGAGTCCGGTCTCTCTTGCCTCGCTTACCATATAATTAGTTTTAGTTTGTTTCAACAGTCTATCTTATCGTTTATTTCCTTCGGTAGTCGTTCTTGTCCTGTTTAATTTTTCAGGGGTGCGAGGGTGTCAAGGGCTGCAACAACGACCTTTTCCATTGTTTAATCTTTACCGTTAACAACCAAGGCAGACGATCCAAACCAACGCTGTCTAACTGTTTTTTGGCCTGAGCTTCAAGTTGTTGGTGTATTATTATAGCCTGGTCCAGGATGGTGTTACCTTGGCTGAAAGGTCTAGATAGACCTTTCAGCCAAGGCAATGAAACATATGGCTGAAACATGCCAATGCACCAGCAACGAGCAGAGCATGGTGCTGGTTTGGAATTTGGATATATATTTCTTTGATCTCAATATATTGTCCAGTCGTGTGGTTAGTGAACAGTTTGATGCCTACGCCTTCTATTTTTTTGTTTTCATCCTGCCAGCCTGGAGTGACCTACATGACAGTGGCTAAGTGTTTTCTAATGTATGAGTGAGTTTTTGGTAACCTTTTATATTAAATCTCAAAGTCGATCTTCCACGCATTAAATATAATTGTAGAAAGTCTATATTTTTCGACTAGTGCCTTTCCTTACTCCTTCGTATTCAGGTATACGGTGTCGGTGTGTTTTGAGGTTCTGTATTTTCTTGTTGACGTGGTTAACCATTTAGATTAGAGTGTATCCTGTTTATAGTGTCCATCAGCCTCATCAGAGTCTGTTGCATTTGTGTCAGCAAGGAAGAGGCCCTCTAGTGTCTATTGTGGGTAACACTTGGTGGTTTTATTGATATTCGTGCTGACTCTTTTTGTGGCAGAGTTAGAAATTGTTTTGTATTTGTGACATCTGCGTATTTAGCACCCAGTCTTACCACTGATCGTTTAATTCTCTCATCTTTCTTGGTTTTCTTTGCTTCTGCTTATTCCATTTGCCTAGTTAACTCATTTTCGAATATAGGGCATTTGGCGTTGTTCGCGCCGTAGTCTTCTCCTTTACAATTTCTGCAGACCTTCGTCGTGCTACCTTCTAGTAATGTAATACTCGAAACAATTGTTCTACGGCAAATAAGAGGAACCACAAACAGTGGTTCCTCTTATTTGCCGTAGCACAATTGTTTCGAGTGATCGAATCCATAGCAATTCTTGCACTGTACAATGTGTTTCGATTTTCTCTAAATGGTATGACCTTGATAGAGGGTTCGCAGAAGAATTTTCTTTCCAAGGTCTCAAAGTTCTCCAGGAGATCTCTCGATTTGTGTTTGCCATCAAAAATTAGAAGGTGTATTTTCCTTGCTCTTCCGAGTGGCTTGATTACTGTTGGTTTAATGCCGATGCAGTCTGTTATCTCAGTCAATGGTGTCGTGGATTCTCTGAAAGTTTCATTTTTGAGCACAATTTTGGCCGCTGGTTGTCTGTCGGCCATCGGTTTTGCCAATTTGCCAAGACTAACAGTAGGTAGTTATTATGTTGCTCACTAACTAAACTATGTCTATAATATTTTATATTCTTATAAAGAAATCATGTTTAGACATAAAGAACAGTCTGCTTGTGGTCAAGGTTTGAAGAAATGTACCTAATAAAATCTTTCTATCCGTCTCTTGAGTTGACTAGTCTGTTCATTTGCCCCTTATGCCCTGATGATGAAATGATGATATGATACTACGCTTGCCTGATGGGTTATTATAGGGTTTATGTAAAATTTTCCTTTTCTTTGTAGTTGTGCTGTTGTCCTGCGTACTCCATTAGTTGGCTCTTACGATACCCACGGGATGAAAAAGGAATAATACTATACAACGTGCTGTATACAATAATACTCAAGGGATGTTTTTGTATGTTAGAAATATGTATTTAAATTTCATAAAGGTAAAAATACGAAGTGGAACAAGATTTACTTTTTCATCTTTTATCAATATATTTTGATATTAGTATTTGATATGAACCAGTTTGCTGTACAAAACTAAACCAGTAAATAGTTTATTCAGAGATAAATTATGTTAACCAAACAACTTAATTGACGTGGTAATATCTCGTTTTATTACGTCTTAACAACACTACTACATGAATCACCGACAATGAGAAACAAGATTGGAACAATTTCAAATATTATCTGTTTGAAGGGTCTAGGTTTGTCTTCTATCACTTAACTTAACTTCTAAAATCTCAACATCTGCCATTTATCAAAGAAACCTTTTGATCTTAATTGTGCAGCAATGAAAGTAAAGGGAAAAAAAACAAAGAAGGGAGAACAATTTCATGAATGTAATGTGAATTCAAATTGTGTTCAAAAATAAGAGGAAATAAATTTACATGTCTAATTATATGTAGGTGACTGAATACCATGCTGCCATACCGAGGAAAACATTCTATTGTAGGATAGACTGAGACACGTTGAAGAATGGCTAGAAGAAGTCTGTGACGGAGTTGTCAATTGTCTTAGATGGGATAAGGTTTTTAAGATGATATAATGTCTGCAGCTTTCATGTAACTCTTTGGACGACCCTAGTAACCTGAGTTTGCTAGTTCAGTTTGGTGCCAAAAAATAGATCCTCAGAAAGTTACAGATCACAGTATACGTCTACAATACCTAGAATGATGGCCTAGCAATTTGACGGGCTTACTGACAAACCAAATCGGTCGGATTAGCCATTGTTGGTAGGTCCTAAAATATCATCAAACAGAGACAATGTCACTTAAAAAAAATGATTTAGGATCCCAGCCAAAAATAACAGAATAACTTCATTGTTTACTTACAAAATCTACTAATGCATATATTTGACTATTTAGAATAGTTAGTTATTATTTTATGATTATGTTGCCGAATGCTTGTTATTGTTAAGAAATAAAAATATGTAATATTAATATGATCATATTTAAAATTGTGAGACTTAATTTTTACCTCATTAGATAAATAATTACCCAATAATTAAACCTTCTTTGAAAATGCATTGCGAGACTTACACTTTTCATTTGTTACAATTTTTTTAAATCATTAACTCTTAAACAGTTTATAAAGTCTTCGTTTTACTTAATAAAGGACTATACTTTTTAAAAGACCACTTTAAATGTATTTGATATAAAATTCTTAAAGTAAAACGAACCGTGCAAAACAATCTCATAAAAGAATTTAGAATAAAGACCATTAATCATATATTAGATAAAATTAAAATGACCTAAGTTTTTATTGTGGATGTTGCATAATATTCCAATGTATCTGAGATAATTTTCCCTAAACTTCCTTGGCCGACCCCCAAGGATTGCCTACGCTAGTTTCTTTTTGGACCACATCCAACGAAGAGCGACTCGAATCGTCGATAGCCTAAACATCTCCGATCGGCTTGATCCCTTGGCGTTACGTAGAGATGTGGTTTCACTCTGCATTCTCTATCAAATGTATTATGGAGACTGCTCCGAGGAATAGTTCGGACTAACACCGGCCACAATTTTCCGCCATCGTTCCACACGGCAAAATGATTACCTGAATAGTTGTCGCAATCTGCAGAACGGGTCTGTCCGTCCGTCCGTCGTATTTATGAAGATACGACCTTCGAACCTTCAAGAAAAGAGCGTACTCCTTCCTAAAAGGCCGGCAACGCGTTTGTGACTCCTGAGTCGCTGACGTTTATGGGCGGCGATGGTCACTTTCCATCAGGTGACCCGTCTGCTCCTCTGCCCACTCTAACATAGAAAAAACTTCCCTCACTGAAAAAGTAACGAAATAATTGCCTAACAGGACTTTCTTCATGTTTTCACTCCAGTCGCGTGAACCCATATTTGCCGAAGCTTAGCTATCCCATGTATAAACAATATCTATTTTGTTTTTAAATTGTTATTTTATAAGATTTAATATACCAGAAAATAAATTAGTTTAGTTTGTTCAATCTGCAATAATGTTGATGCAGTCCATTAAAACACAATATGTTTTGATGGACTGTAGAAACATTTTTGATTATCCTGTATATTTGCAATGAAATTTTCCTTTTATATGACGGGTATTAATGGTGCCTGTGAGTGATCTACCGCTGATTTGTTTCTTAAGGAAAAAAAATTAACTGGTAGGTGGATTTGGGGACCACTAAAACCAAACAGTTTTTCACAATTGTATTGTTAGAAGGTATGTAGTTAAAACAGAAATATAACGGGAAATAAATTTGATTACTGTAAATATTCCACTGGCCTGTTAGTCTAGCGGTTATTGATTCTTGCCACACTAACACACTAAGCAACAGGTCGCGGGTTCGATTCCCACAAACGACAAAAATTGTCTATAAAAATAGGCAGCGAGCAGAATATTTTATTTATTGTATTTGTAAATCAAATTATAAATAGTTATTGAAAAGTTAAAAAGTCAAGTTATAAGTAATATTTATTTGTTCATAAAGCTTACTTGATTAATTACTATAAGATGAGTTTGTATAAAATATTTTAATTGTTTTTTTTTACCTAAATATTTGTTAGTTTTATTACTTTGTTTGCTTAAATTTTATGTTAGTCAAACTATTTCAAATGGGTCATTATAATGTCCTCGTGTGTTACCATAAAAATCGAGAGGGCGCTGTGCTCGAACAGTGTTCGATATCATTGGTTGTGTGATAAGAATACCTTATCTAGATACCTTACAAAAGAAATATTTTATAAAATGAGTATAACATTAAATATTTATACGATTACGTTCATGTGACACGGTTGTCACAGTTAATTTCACTTGACGATCAAACAGAACTTTAGCCGATCCCAGCACATGAATATCTTAAACTTGGGGCAAATACTTTTCTTGCGATGTGAATTTGGCGACTGTTTTTTAATAAGATTATTTATATCAAATGCGTAGTCTATACGAATAAATAAATTTGAAGTGATTGTTTGTAATGTCAAAATAATAGGTTTTTTTCATGTTCACATGATTATTTGCACGGTATCTATGCCTAAAAACCCGTTTATATATTTTCTGTCTGTCTGTCGGTCTGTCTGTTTGTTCCGGGTTAGCCTTAAAACGGCTCTACCTATTTTGATAATATTTTAATACCAGGTAGCTGTCTATATAAGGAGTATCTTAGGCTATTTTTAACCGATTTCAAAAAGGAGGAGATTGTCAATTCGGATGTTTATATATTTTTTTATGTATACATAACTCCGTCATATATGGACGGATTATCAAAATTATTTTTTTTGTTCGAAAGGGGTTTATTCCAAAATGGTCCCATTTAAATTTCATATAGATCTTATAATGAATTTTAGAGGCAGACAACGACTCTTTAAAAAATGACAGCAAATCAACCGCGATCCGCGCGATCCGCGAACCGAGAATGGAACCGCATGTTACGACATGCTACGACATGCCGCGGTATAATCGAGTTTGTCTGAGGATAAATAATTAAAAAAAAAAGTTGAACCTTGGTAGCCTGCTGCTAGGTTTTAAGTGTTCTTTATTAGTATTGTTAGAAGTCGGTTCAACTTTTTTTTTTAATTATTTATCCTCAGACAAACTCGATTATACCGCGGCATGTCGTAGCATGTCGTAACATGCGGTTCCATTCTACAGATTATCATGCCACCATATCTCGCGAGTTACATAGGTCGCAGGAGTATAGCCCCCCTCCCTCGGTGGTACTGGTCATTCTGGCAGCGTGTAAAGCATCATAACCACGCTTTTTGTAGTGGCAGCACCCGGGCGTTGGCTCTTTGTGGATCAGACACAGGTGACCTCCAAAGCATCCTTTGCGCCAATATCAGAGGGTCCCGTGCTTCCTGTCGAGCCAATTCTCGATAACGCGGCTTACCGTCGCAATAACAGCGTGCCAGAATTAAGCCGCCCTATAATATCCCGAACGTAAAACTTATAGGCCCTGCCCTGTATAGGATATTTGAGAACTCTAAATTTTGAATGATTCAAATTATACATACTACGTTTAATAAAGTAATTCGAAGCCTATAAACATTTGCATTTATTTTCGTACACCGATCTATAGATGTTACTATGATCAAATAAAAATACATTAGACATGCAAATTATGAAAAAGGTTCGTTTTCGTTTCGATGTCTATTGTTGCCGTCCCTTGAAAATTCCGTCTGTTTATACGCTATGCACACCTATACCTGAGTCAGCGCTTTTCAAATTCCAACTGGCCAATCATCATTTTTTTTGGTAACAGTACTTTCTTCAAGATAAAAAAAATATCCTATATACTTTGCTGCACCTCTAACGGTGTTTGCAAAAGTTTGTGATTATTGGTTAAGTAGCTAAGGCGAAAAAACTTAAAAAAAAAAAAACAATCAAAGCCAAAAAATAACGATTGCACAAAATGGAAAATTTAATCTTTTATTGGGGGCGCTGTTATTTGTTTATAGCGTTCGTTCAAAAATAAAGCTAATGGATTATAAACTTAACACATCTCAATTTGATTCAACCTTCACCGTTTGTTTTTT